TCGTCAACCAAGTGTCGATGGCCATGGGTCGACTCCAGAAGACCCCCGGAGACGAAGTATACCAGTGGGCCCAAGCATGCATGTCCTCCTCTGAGCAGGAACTCATCGCGGACAAGCGCTTCCCACGTCTAGATCGTGCAGTAGCCGCAAAGCTCCTTAAAACCTGCCGCAAAGGTAAGTTCGGGCTCTTGTTTCAGAACATGGTTCGACAAGAGAGAATCTCGTCAGGTGGGATGCCCGTAGGGAGAATCATGTTGCGTGCCATCTTCAAGCACTTTCAGTTGGAACGAGGTAGGATCGGAACCTTAGGAGGTCGTAACTTGTTAAAGTTGTCTCTTGCAGGTCCGTCCCTTGCTGACTTGGATGCCTTTCGGGAGAAGTACGTTTACGTGCTGACCGCAATTCCCGTGGAAGGAAACAACCCTGTTTGATCACCTGTTGGATGAGCTGGAAAAGTGCACCGCGCTGAAGCCTAAGGTTGAAAAGGCAAGGGAAGCCCCCATCGGCAGCCATCGTAGGAAGCCGGAATCGGGGAAAGTACTTGAAAAAGCATTCCCTTGCGACGATGCGGCAACACCGGAGGCATCTTGTGAATCTGAAACCTGAGGTGCTCCAACCGGCTGATGGGTTCCTGGAGGAACTGTGCCCTGACTTGAGGCTTTAGCCGCGCTTGTTTCCGTAGCTGTTTCGGCTATTGATGCGGCTTTTGGCGGGGACTCTTGAATCGGAACAGGGGTCGCACGAGCTTGTTGGGTGAGGTGCGCAACAACACGTTCGAGATCACCAAGTCGTTGATGCATCACAGAATTTTCCTGGGACAATCCACGAATGGTATGCTCTTGACTGGCAATGGTTTGTTCCCTTTGCAAGATTGCCTGTTGAGCCTCTTGAACAATGCGTTGAACCTCCTGCTCAGCGTCCTGTTGAGTGGCATTAACAACCTGCCGTGCGTTCTCGACATGGCCAATGGCTTCCTGTCGGGTCTGCTCGATTAGTTGCCTAGCCTGAGCCTCACTCTGTTGCGCTGTTTGTACAGCCTGCTGGGCTTGCGAAGCTAGCTGAGCAGCTTGAGCCCTAACATCTGACACTTCTCTCACAGCCCTCTCCCTAATCCATCCGGCCTCTTGTCTCGCCTGGTCAGCGGCTTGTTGTTGGTGTAAGGCGTGATTGGCTGCCTGAGCAGCGAGGTCGGATGCTCGATGAGCTTGCTGCACCGCAGCTCCAGCAATAAAGGCCGCAGCCGGTACGTTAGTCATCGGGTCGGGTATTTGTGAGCCCTGAGAAGGAAACTGTATGGCTGGGGAAGCTTCGGACGATGTAGGTTCTGACACGATCGGACCACTTGGAGGTGATGATGGTCGTGTTTGGGCTGCTCATTGAGGTGTGGATGTGCGCATTGTGGACATTGCTGCAGGAACCATGGCTAAGTCAGGGTCATCCGGTTCAGAACCCCTGTTTGGGGTTGATCTTGAACGGGGTTCCGAGGGCGGGGAGGATAAGCCCGTTGAAGCCATGACACAGCAATGGAATTTGCACTCACACGAAGCCAGCTCCACGCGCTTTGAGCAGCGTGTCAAAAGGTGCTACGTGGGGATTTTGCTGGATCCGCAGCTGGTTGCGAAACGCTCAAGTGAGCCACTCAAGAAAAGTCGCCCTGCTGCTTTGCACCTGATGAATTCTGTACTTGTAATCGTACTTGTATATTGATTTGCTCGCAATCCCGCACTCTGGTGCTTTATCGAAGGATGTCGCCAAGCTGCTGATGAAAAGTCTGCTAATCGAATGCCTGTAGCTGCAAAGATGCTGTACCGCGCAAAGCGACGGTTTTAGCGGCTTGCAAAGAAAGGCTATCGAAGGACCCGATTGCCGGGCAGTTGGGATGCAGAACGATGGAGCTCCTCGAGATACCGCGAAGGGTGTAGGCCCCTTGCTGCCGGAATGAAAAATCGATTCCGGGACTCGATGAATTCCCCAATGTTTTCAAGAGCTGTGGCAAATCCGCTCGGCCCAAAATGGGGGAAGTTGCGAAATGCAGCAATGCCAGTTTTCTGCGCCTCGCGAACGATGGCAGATTGGTCGTCCACGAGAACGTGGACTCCCAACCCCAAGAGTGCGTCCGCCTTCCCACCTCGGCCCAGTCTCTCGTGCACGATCTTGATCTGAGAGAACGTGAGTCCAGCTGTCGCCTTCGCGTGATCCAGGGCGACCTGGAACTCGCGGCGTCGAAAATCACTGGCTGCTCGACCAACAAATGACAGCACAATCAAGTTGATCGGAGCGTAGTCTTCCGTGGATTTAACGAGGTGCTGGATGATCTCGGGATTGAGGTGGGGGCCTTGTTGACCGACGTCCAATTCCCCGTGCCAATCCAGAGCGATGGTCAGCTCCTTGGGAGGCACAGGCCTTGCAGGCGGCGGCGGTGGCGCTGGCGGCGGCCTTCTCGGTGGCGATCGAAAGCGTATGCCGGCCTGGGAAGTTGCAGAGCTTGAAGCAGCTGCTTTAACGACCTGGGGCGGCGGCGGCTTGACGATGTACCCTTGTGGTGGGTTTGAACCGGACTTGCTTCTGGGTTCGGCCTTGTTCAGACCTCGCGGAGGCGCCTTGTACCCGAATGCACTCTGAGTCCGAATAGGAGGCCTTGCTCGAGGAGGTGATTTTGTAGGAATAACTGCTTTTGCCGGTACCAAAGAAGCTGCACGAGGAAGTTCCTTGGGCAATGGAGGCTTGCTGCCAAAAATGATCTTTGGCGCGGCCTTTGGCGGTGGCTGTACTGTTGTTCCAATCCTCCTGCTATGCAAAGCAATAGGCTCAGTGTGTGTCGGTGCCTCGTATACGCGCCGAGGCACGTAAGCCGCCCTGCCAGTTGTAAGGGCTTCCGCGTCCTGCGTAGGCTCCCCCTCTGAACTATAGGCGTCGAGGCGATATTGCTCCGCTGGTCCTGGGCGTCGATCTGGAGATCGTGATCGCGAGCTTGTGGATGATCTTCTTGGGGGATCTCCCCACGTCTCGTCCGCAAGCGAATACGGGTCAGCCTGACGGAGATGTCGGGATGTCCGCTGTGCTCGGCGGTGAGATGTCGCCTCACGTGGCTGTGATCTGCCCTCCCGCGCAAGCGCGGGTTCAACACTTTGCGCCCGAGGTTCCACAGGGGTAGCAGCAGTCGGTCCTTGTCTCGGAAACGATGGGGACCTCGATCTTTGTGGCGTGCTCTCCTGCCGCGTTTCCGCAGCTTTAGCGTACACCCCACGAAGTTCTGTCTTGGCGGCACCTCGCAACACTTGTCTTTCCTCTGCAGATGGTCGGAGACGAGGCAATGGAGCGCGGGAGTCCTGCAGCCAGGATGAAGCAGACGGAGGCGTAGGAGGTCGTAACCAATCCGCAGCACTGCTTGTTGCTCCCGCCGCGCCAGAGGCTGAGGCTCTATCCTGCGCCTGAACTCCTTGTGGCACTACCGCACCCGCGGTTTCAACCGATGCAAGACGTTCCGCGGCCTGGATGATCTCAAAGGCCTCTTGGTCGAACCCCCACAAGTGCCAACTATCCAATGTCTCACGCCAGGAAAAGAGGGCCTCAATCTATTGCTTTGAAGCCTCTGTAAACCTGATCCACCGGAAGCGTCGATCCTGCTTTTTGTATTCGTCAACGATGATCTGCTGGAGGGTGTTGAACAGACGGGCACGCGGCCCTTTCCCACCGCGAACGCCGCGGTGAGGGCCGACTTCCGTGTGCGACCAAACGGTCGCAGTCACGGAAGGGTTTGTTTACCCGAAAAGCGTTACGGCTGATAACCACTCAAAGGAGAGGGAAACACAGTTTCTCAACAACGGGGGAACCCGGGACCTTAAAAGGAACGAACCCCGCCGTGACTGCGACCTCTCCCTTAACTTGTGGGCAGCAAATGCAACGCGCTCTTTTCCTTGAGCCAAAGCAATGACATGCGGACATGCCATTGATGTTGTACCTTGCAACATGAGTTCCTACCTCATGAACCTCTGGGCCATAAATGTCATCGTGATACTTGACTGATCGAGCCCAAATCTCACAGAGCATCACAGAGCACCTCATAAAGAAACGTCTCAGGAGAATTGAAAAAACTGGGCCCATTGGTTACGCAGGACATACTCAAAAGTCGCCGCTCATCTAAGGAAAACCACCCAAAAGTAGTTCTAAAAAACCAGAAAAAGAGGATGGCGGAGGAAGCTCCTCGAGAATCAGCGCAAATATTGATGAGCAAAAGAAAAGGCCTTGGTGTCGTTGGAGATTTCCCCCGTTCAATCGGGGTCACCAAAGGATAAACAAAACAGGCATCCTCTTTTTCTGCGGCCCTCAATTGGAAAAGCTCCAGATCCAGGGTAAGGTCAACACTTTCAGAATGACATGGTGAGCAAGCACCTGATCAGGAACAACTCCTCCAGACCCATCAAGTCCAAGAAAACTTTCAGAAGCATCAGTTTTCAAAACACAAAATGACCACTAAATCACTCTAGATGGAGCAATCTGAAAAAATGGTTCGCAGGGTTGGGAAATAACTCGCATCTCAAATCAGAAAAGATGAGTCGGGATGCAGCATTCAGAGATGCAGCTCAGAAACACACTTTTAGTTCTGCCTGCCAAATCCTCGAAGCGCAACACACATGAAGCTGGAAAGGCTGAACTGGACATAGGTGGGTCAAACCTGGCGAGCGGATCCCAAGCAAGTAAGCCATGGACGGTAACAGTACCCACTGCACCCGGCAACCATCCGTTGAGCAATCGCGGTTCCCCTTCTTGTTGGGGATCCTTTTCTAAAGGCTTGCCGAAGTGTTCTTCACAGGAGGCCCCGTCAGCAAGTTGGGATTGTTCCCCTAAAGCGCATGCAAAAATGAGTGAGTCCCGTTTGTGTGTGTGTGTCTTTCTTGCTGAGATCTACAGCTCGTCAATGTCCTGAACCCCAAATGGACCACAAACAAATGACAAATCCGGAGCTTTGCCAGGAGAAAACACAATACCCAGGCCGCGGC